AGAGAGAGAGAGAGAGAGAGAAAAAGAGAGAGAGAGGGAGAGAGAAAAAATATCGAGAGAAAGAAAGACAACGTAAATAATAATATATGCAAATAACAACACAAAAGGCAGTTGAAACATTCCATTTTTTTTATTCCAATAACAATGAACGAGGTCAAAGTTCATGGGTGACAAAGCCTAGCAGGGTGTGATCCCCGCTGTTTGTCGTAGAAACTTCCACTTGCCCAGACACAAGTGTGAACCTAACATACATCACACATCAACAACAACAAATGTCAGCATATTATATATTATGTATATATATTATATAATATATTATATATGTGTCATGACCCGGTGGAATCAGGCGCTCGTCAATTTTTAAGTAAATAGAATTATTGGTATCATCTTAAAGATTGTTCATTTGCCTTGCATTTGATGAAAAAAATTTACCATTTATCTTGAATAGAAGTCGAGATATTTGCCATTGAAGGAGATGGGGTCGCCTGCTTTCAGAAGGAAAATTAAAGAGAAAATGGCCGCCAAAATTTGTGACTTCCATAGCTCAAGAGTCCTTGGAAACTGCAAATTAACATTTTACTTGCCTTTAATCAAAGTTTTTCCATAAAATCCACACAAAAGAATGTTTTTGAACAGACATACAAGGTGCTGAGCCAAAAAACAAAAATTCAAAAAAAATTTCCAAACTGGCCAAAAAAAGCTAATTTCTTAGAGTTCAATATTTTGACGAGCGCCTCATTTCACCACGATGCCTCACATATATATATATGTGTGTGTAATATATGGGATTGTCTGAACAATATAAATACTCTATTGAGATACAATATTTCGTCGTGTAAACCAAAACAGTGATACAGGTACGTTAAAAAAATATCAAAAACATTTTGAGCAACAACCAAAAAAATGGTAAAATTTCAACATTTCTGAGCTTTAAAAAAAAAGGCATGCGATTTAGAGGTCAATACGAAAAACTTTGAGGTAAGTGTATATATATCTAATTATCCAGCACAATATAATAATAACAACAACAACAACAATAATAATATTAACGATAATAATAATAATGACGATAATATAATAATAATAATAACAATAATATAATAACAATAATATAATAATAATAATTATAATAATACAGTGGAATCCTGTTATAACGAGAGGGAGGGGACCGGTGTCAAATGTCCGTTATAGCAGGATTCTCGTTATAAGGGACCCAGTAATAAATTCAAGGGAAATAATAAAGTAGGCCTAATCTATGAGTCTGGCTTTTGGTTTATTTCTTTTTGCTATCTCCCCTGATGATGATTTGGTTCAACATGACCTTTAAGTCTTACTTGATCAAAAGTTGAATTAGGTTTCTTTCTCAAACGCTAGCGATATTGACAGCTCGGCATTGGCGATCAGAAAGAAAGTTCTCTAGGCTAACTCGCCCGCTGTGTTGTCCCCCACCCCACCACACCCTGTGGTGCGTTCCGTCTGCTTGCGCACAAAGGAAACATACCACACCCTGCCCACGTCACACATTCACTCCGTCCATCACAGTACAGCACTATGACCTCTCCATCCCCACATCGGTGAAGTGAGAGGCGTGGTAGACCTAGATAATCTAGACTGGGCTGGCCTATCACACGATGCGTTCTGCTTGTCTGTGCATGCCACACTCTCCCCACTCATTCAATCAGACCTTCATTGTTGACACACGTGGGCTCTCCCATTCTTTGTTTCGCTAGATCACTGACAAGTTTTTCAACTGGCAAGGTTTTACATGAATAAATAGCCTATGCACTGTGCACAGCAGCAGCTATATTCCTGTATAACCGACTCCCGTGTTCGTCTGATTGCGCTGTAGCAGTATTTTATTTACAAAGGTAAAGAAGGGGAAAAAACGGGGTTTTAGATTAGTGTCTTTATAACAGACTTCTCGTTGTTTCAGGACTCGTTATAAGTGGATTCCACTGTAATATATTTTATTGGACAGAGAGAGAGAGAGTGAGGGTATAATCACTTGTGCTTGTGTGTCCAGTAGAATGAACTGACCAGAGAGAAGGAGGAGGGGGAGAGGAAAAACAGGAGGGAGGGGAGGGGAGGGGAGAGGAAAAACAGGAGGGAAGGGAGAGGAGGGGAGAGGAAAAACAGGAGGGAGGGGA